CCCAAAACCCCAAAACCCCAAAACCCCAAAACCCCAAAACCCCAAAACCCCAACAGAACTTATAAACTTGTATGAAATAAGTTGTGGATATCAAGTTTAAACATTATTAATTTAAAATCATTTACGAGTATATATATAATCAGTATGGATCAGAGAGCTAAACTGCAGAATGTAACCACTAACTTGATTTAATTTTACTTTATAGAACTAACTCAGATCTTTTGGCTACAATGAGGTGAACAAAGATTCACTAGAGCCATCACCTACAAATACAATAAATGGAAATAAGACTAGACTTCCAGATAGTTTTATAAAGAATATGCCAGAGAGCAGTTCTGATGGTCATGGATCACTAGGCAATCATAAAAGTAAAACCGGGATAATAGCTCACATCGCTAACGTGTAGCCAACTGGTAACCCTCTGAAGAATCCAAGTTTGGTCATGTCAGCATTATAAAAAAATGATTCTAATTATGATGATGCTTACTAAATGAACAGAGATCGTAACAGTAAGATTTTATCAACTAAATTTCTAGGGAGTAAAACTACTACTGGTAAATTCAAAGGTGCTGTTGAAATAATAAGAAAAATTAACAGAACACAAATAGCCATGTAAAAGGTTAAACATGATGAAGCTTTGAGGATTAAATAAATAATGGAGAGCAAGATCAAAGAAAACTTCATTATAAAGCAAGTTGAATCGGAAAATTAGAAAAATGGGCCTAAAAAGAAAAGATCAATGTTTATAGATGAGTTGGATGAAGAATGGGATGACTTCATCACTAGAAGAACGCAATTATTGCCTGAACTCCCTAAGATAGAACACGGGCATGGCGGACATGGCCATCATGCGGGACCAGTGGATCATGATAAAATACGTAAGTTATACATTTTAATAAAGGAGCTTCTTAATCCAATCTAAATATAGCAAGATTTATCTTCCGATGTAATGATACTTGGGTGTTCTGGTGGGACATCACAGTTCTAGTTCTTGCTATAATCATCTGTTTTATGCTTCCTGTAGAAATAGCATACCACGCTCCATTTGGCAAAACATCAGGATGGCATATCTTTGAATACACTGTTGAGGCCCTTTTTGCCTTAGACGTTTTATTCCACTTCAATACTACTATTTATGATAGTGATGGAAATGAAATCTTTGATAGAAAGCATCTGGCTATTGATTATCTTTGCGAAATGCATTTCTGGATTGATATGGCTGCAACCTTTCCATTCAATAAGATGAGTGACAATGCAGCCGCAAAATTAGCCCCAACTTTAAAGGTGATCAGAATAACGGCTCTTTCTTAAATTATTAAGAAGCTGAGTGTCAGAGATGAAACTAAAGCTGTAATATCTATATTTATTCATCATTTTTCTATAGTTAATCAAAGCATGCTAACTTATCTTCTACTTAATAATTTACATTCATATGAAAGCTTGCATCTGGTTCTATATGACTAGAGAAAGCGATACATGGCTTCCACCAATGTTTTGGCAGTCACCAGTAGACTCAGAAGAATTACTAGAACACTTCTTCGGAGCAGGAAATTACGGATAGCAATATTTAGTATCTGTCTATTATTCTGTCCTAATGTTGAAGCCAAATGAAATCGCACCAAGAGCTGACAATGAAACTATCATTTGTGCAGTTATCCTTTTAATTGATCTGATAGTAGCTGCAAACATTTATGGAGGTATTACAGTCCTCGTCTAAATGGCTGGCAGAAGAAGCCAAAAATTCTAAAGATAAATTGATAATGCCAACACAGCCATGAAAGATATGAGCATTCCAGGTGATGTTTAGGGCAAAGTGAGAGAATTCCTAGTCCTTATTTAGTCAACTAGAGAGTAGTAGGAAGAGCTCTAAAAGTTTTATGACATGATTTCTCCTAGTTTGAAGTAAAAGGTTGCCATAGAGATATTCTCTACAATTATAAGGAGCAATTTAGAGTTAAAAAAGGTCATCAAATCAAAGATGGATGAGATAAAAGACGACAATAATGTTAGTGTAAAACTCACTACAAGCAGAATTTTTAAATAAAGAGTGAAGGAGGTAATTATTAGTTTGATTGCTTCTTAACTCACCACTTAACTTAATAAACCAGAGGATGTCATCATACACTAGTACGAGGAAATGACTGAGAAAAATGAAATGTATCTCATAGCAAGAGGTGAATGCATGGTAAATATAAAGGATGAAAATAATAAGGTAATAAGAGGGCATAAAATTCTTTAAGCGACGGAATTTTTCGGAGAGATAGGATTAATCTATGGATGCAAGAGAACTGCTACTGTAGTTTCTAGAAAGTATACTACATTGGCTATACTGTCAAAGCCAAAATTCTAAATGATAACAACTGAATTCCCGAGGTTCAAAGAGATTCTGAAGAAGAGTATTTTCAAGCACAACGATAGGATGAAGAAATTTATGAAGCAATGTCTTAGGAAGATAGAATACTTCCAAGGTATCTCTGAAGATGCTCTTCATGATGTTATGTATCATATGGATCTTAAGCATTACAATGAGGGAGATGAACTTCAGAGTCCAGGAGATAAAGCTCGTTCTTTATATTTTATCTAGGATGGAATAGTCGAAGTATCAGCATTATTTGATGAAAATCATTTCGTTATTGAGAGACTTCATAGAGGATCAATAATTAATTTCAGAAATTGGTTCATGGATGATGAAGATGCCCATGTCTACATCAAGTTTGCTACTAATGCTATCGTCTAAGAACTTGATATTGATATTATGAACAAAGTCTGCTCATATCATCCAAAAGATCTAGAGGAAAAGTTCTTGAAATATTAAACAACTATTTCCAAGACTAATCTATCATATCCACTAGACTATATCATGAATCTTCCACCTGAATTGAGAAACACTAGGCTCAGTGTTCAAAAGTAATAGCTTGCTTGGAAACTTGAAAATCTTCAAAAGAACATTGTCATGAGAAGGATCCATGAGATCAAGTAGTTCAAGAAAAAGCCAGGTCTAAAGGAAGCAATTCAGATTAGTTTAAGGGAAAAAGCTAAAAGAGATGAGAAGTTGAGAGCGAAACTCAAGGACAAAGTTATGGATCTCTACGAAAAAGAAATATAGCATAATCTTAGTGAAGAGGATAGGAGGTTCTCAAGAATTCTTTTGTAAATCGATAGACTGCACAAGATTCTAGCTGCTTAATCTACATAAGTCATTAACCTAGAAAAGAAAATCTTGGGTAGACCAGCTCTCCAAAATCAGCCCTCAATCAAAGCCTAGCCATCAAACACCATTTCTAAAGCCCCTTCAATCAAAAACGAGGAAAAGAAAAAGTCAGAAAACAAGAAGCAGTTAGAGACCTATCAAGAATTCTTTGAATCATCAAAATTAGGATCATTCCCAAGATATCAAGATGATAATCTTAGCGATTCATCAGAGGACGAGAAAAATCAACTTCTGCAGCTTGATGATATTCAAACCATTGCTGTCAAAGAAGGGGCCTTGTTGTCTCTTCAGCTTGATAAGAGATCTACTTTAGTATCGAGATAGCAATGAACAACTTAAAAGAAAGATTTAGGGATTTTTAATTGAAATCTTTATATCAGGATTTAATAGACCAAAAACTTTTAAAATGCTTCTTATTTCTTATTAATAAAAAAGCATAAGATTTGTATTTCCAAGTTTAGTTATAATTTTCAAATATATATATTATATTCTTTGTGGCAAATTCTCCTCTTGGGGTTTTGGGGTTTTGGGGTTTTGGGG